AGGTGGCGCATCCGGGCCCGTTAGGCTGGGTGGGGAGGCAACTTATGTGGAAGGTGGCCCCCTTTTTTGTTTCATTGCGGGCCAATAAGTTTGATCAATGGCTCCTATATAATCCTCGCAAAGGTCCTGGTGTGCCCCATGCACCAGGTTCTGGGTTAATTTATCTGCCCTTTTCAAGGCGCTGTCCTACAAGTCCGGAAGACCCTTGATGGGGCGATCAATGCACACAATTGCATTGACAAGAGATTCTAATTCAAAGTTCCAGGCATCATCTGCAAATTGTATTTGGAAGAGGCTTACAACCACATCAATTGGACCTACTTGATTGTATCCTATCCTAGATGGGATTTCAAGGAAAGTGGAGTGCTTGGCTGTCATGGTGTTTATCCTCTGCAGATGTTTTAATCCTTATCCATGGAAGCCTGACAGGTTTCTTCCCATCTTCGCCTAGGTTTAGGCAATGAGACCACTGTCTTTCCTCTTCAACATTGTCAGGGATGACTAGAGGTCCATCGATAATCTCTACAATCATGGATTGCTCAAGGATTTCTCCACCTCACACAATGGACCTACCATCTCCCATCTTCAATATGCGGATCTCGTATGTATGTATGTACATATGTGTGTATGTGTGTACGTATGTGTGTATGTTTGCATGTATGTGTGTGTGTGTATGTATATGTGTGTGTGTATGTATATATGTGTGTGTGAATGTATGTGTGTATGTGTATGTATGTATTTGTGTGTATGTGTGTGTATGTGTGTGTGTGTGTGTTGTGGAAACAGTTGAGTGGCAATTGGCATCATGGAAATGGCTCTATCTATCTCTGGCTGTCGCATCATTCTAAACTATTTTGAGTATTCCGGTCTTCTAGATGTTTCTCTTTTGAATGCTGGAGAATACAATCCACAAGTTGGAAAGCCTGATGCGCAACTAGCTTGGATGAAACTCACAAATTCTACCTAATAAAGTGGGATATAATATGGAAAACTAAGAGATCAGGGGTTTTGGGCCTCTTGGCACTCTTTCCAAAAAGTGGTGGTGGCACTTTTCCATCTACCAAGATCACCTTTAGTGGTCGGTCATTAGGCACAGGTATGATACAATACCACTCCAGCTGTCTGCTGAAAAGACAACCAAAATGAGGGCTATAGGGGCTTGAAAGGCCATCAGCCAGGTGCATAGACATTCCTCTGTCCATGCATGTTTCCTGCCTAAATCAGGAGACTGCCTCAAACTTCGAAGGGACATGGTGGGAGGTCACCTACCTCTCAAACTTTCTTTCCCAAACCTATTCAACCTGGTTTGGACAAGGATCTATTCAACCTGGTTTGGACAAGGATGCCATGATTGATGCATATGGCACACACCTAGGTGGCCAGCTAGTTTGAACACCCTCCACTAAAACCTATTCAACCTGGTTTGGATAAGGATGCCATGATTGATGCATATGGCACACACCTAGGTGGTCAGCTAGTTTGAACACCCTCCACTAAGACCTAAACGGCAACAAAACCACATAACTCTTGTCTGTGATTGAGCTGTTGAGCCAAGACAAGATACTTGGTCCCCAGACCCAAATGGTACTTTGTCTGTGGCCTTCTACAAAGTCCTTACCTCTGCCGATCTAGATCTAGGCACTGTTCATAGGTTTTACATCTCCCCTGCTCCAAGTCTGAGCATTCAATTGGCTAGCCATATCAAACAAACCTGATCTTCATTCACTGTAAGTGGAAAGGTATTCAACTGGCCAACCAGATGCATTATGTGCAACACGAAAGAGGAAATCGTTGCTCACCTTTTCATCCACTGCAATCTGGCATTTAAGGTCTGAAGTTTGATCCTCCTCCAACTGTTTGGATACTCTTACCCCCCTGCAATCAGACAAAAGCCTCTTCATACTACACTTCTTCCTGCTCCTACCACTTTGATCTGGTGCCTGACCATACTAGGTACTGTTTGGTCAATCTAGCTAGAGTGGAATTGTCAACAAATCTTAGTCAGTTTTCACATTCCCAAATCACCACCTTCATAGCATTAGGTCAACAATTACCTTTGAAACACTCTAGTGAAAAAAAATTCAGATACCTTAGCAGCAATAGATCGCTGTATCCACATGACATACACCCCCAGGATCATCCTTGTGGCTGCCACCCGAACAAGGAGCGATCAAACTGAATTTCAATGGCAGTCCCATTGGGAACCCAGGCTCAGCTGGCATTGTGGAGTCTTCAGAATTGATACTAGTGAGTTCTTAGTAACCTATTCCGGACCTGCTGGTACATCAAATGTCTCATTTGCCAAATGTAAAGCTTTGCTGGTTGGCATACAGGCATCCAATAGAGACTGGGTTCAATAGTCATCATTGAAGGATACTTCAAAACATCATTTCCTGGCGCAATAAGTACGCTCCAGCCCGTGGAGCTTCAAGAACCTCTGAGCAAAATTTCAAATAGTGCCATGGTCTCTCGGTTTTCTTTAGACACACTTGGTGAAAAGCAAACTCAATTGCTGATTGCCTAACCAGAGGATTGATTTGCAGTACCCACTTAGTCACCCAACTTTAGACACTCCATCTAAGCCGCCATTTTTTGTACAGCCTCACTCAAATGCTTGCCATTCTTTGTATAATTTGGTACTAAGCACCCGTATGCATTTTTGTCTTTTGACACCTCAAAGTTAACTGTATAGATTTAAATTATTAACACAAAGAGTTATCACTAGAAATAGATACCTATATTAATATAATAGGTGTCTATGTTAGGAATTATGAAATAATTCTGAATATAATGAACAAGAAATTGTAAATTGAGGAATTATGAAATAATTCCGAATATAATAAACAAGAAATTGTAAATTGAACTATAAAAGTACCACTGGATTACTTAAAAGTAAATCAAGATGTAAAATATATCATATTGATGTTTCATTCCAGTTAAATATTTTAAAAAAGGGTTTTTCTAATGTTAACACCCCTCAAATTCCCATGTGTTGCGTTTAGCAATGGGTGTGAACTCCTCATTTACCTCAGTTGTACCTTTGTGTTCCCTTGTCTATATAGTGAGGAAGGGTATTTATGTCAAAAATTTATTTATTTAATTTTTTTTGAAAAAGAAGATGCAGGTTTTGAGAGAGAGAGAGAGAGAGAAAGAGAGAGAGAGAGGACTAATAGAATTAATGGCTTGATGTCAACTGTCACTCTCTTCATTCTTCAAACCTTCTTTGAAACCCTAAAGCAGAGATTCAAAACCCTAAAGCAGGTTCGAGCCCATCTTTCTCTTCCCAGATTATTTCTTGCTTTTAAAGGTTTGGAAACCCTACCATGAAGGTTCATCAAAAACCAAGTACTCTCTCTCTCTCTCTCTCCCTCTTCATCACCATTTTACTTGAATGTGTTGGGTTCTTTTATACTCTGTAAATTTACTGTCGCAAATTCACAGTGAATTTACCGTGAAGAATGGGATTCGGCCATTGTTGCATTCACTGCAACAAATTTGCTTCAATTTACTAAATAGGATGCGGATATTGTAGTTATGTTCACTCCGAAGCTTGAATTTATTGGAACTCATTTTGTAGTCACTGTAAATTTAGTGCAGCAAATTCACTATGATTTCACAGTAAAGAACGAGATTCAGATGTTGTGAATGAGTTCGCTATGCAAAATTTGCTTGAATCTACTGGATTACTTGCTTAAACTCAAGTTTAATTTATGATAAGAAAACATACTAAATTGGAGCGACATGATTGCCCCTTCTAACTCCCTCTCTCGATGGCCTGCTTCCTTACCCTTTAGTATATACAAGACAATTTCTTCATCCCCCAGTCCATATCTACTTTCATCTAAAACTGGACTTGATTTCCAGGGATTCTGAACAGTAGGGTCCCTTCTCTCTCTCTTCTCTCTAGGAGAAGAAAAACAAGGAGGTGCTTTGAATGGCTGCTCAGGAGTCCTGCTAGTAGCGTGCTTGATGATTCGAGGAAGAGGAAGAGTTGGAGTGGGGTTGTGCGGTGGGTCGATTTGAAGAAATAGAAAGGGACATTTATGGGAAGAGGGAGAAAGTGATAGAAAGAGAGAATTGAGTTGGTATTCATGAGCTTTCGATGGAGGAGAGAGAGAGGGGAATGGGGCTACAGAGGGCAAGAGGAGTTGGTTGCAGAGAATACCGGAGGGTTTGAGACAAAAGTGACGAAGAGACTTTTTATTTTCCACATATCTGAACTAAAAGAAGGGGCATATAAAGTAAATGAGGAGTTCATACCCATTGCTAAACGTAACACATGGGAATTTTAGGGGTGTTAACGCTAGAAACACCCTTTTAAAAATTATTTTTCATATTTCTCAGCTGGTGCATTGCGCAACACACGCCATTAGCTAGTTGTTTCCTACTGTTCATGTTTCCTATTCCATTTGTCATATCACATTATTCAAAAAAATTATTATAACTTGGTGTACAAACTGATTCTTATATTGCAACAAATTTTGCTGTGTACATGTGCATGCGCTAGACCGAAACCATGTTTTTAGAGTGAAGAGCAACGGCCAACTTTTATCTGCTTCTATGAGGTACTGGAGCAAGAGCGATACTCTATTGAGGCAGCATTAGACAATAGTCCAACACCTTTAGTATTTGGGTTTTTAAACTTCAAATCACAAAAGTTTTGTGAACTTCTTGGTGAATGTTGGTGCACATGTGCTTGGCTCTTAAGGTTTTTCAACGTTTTCCATGGAAAATCAAATAATGCTTTGTAATGATTTCAAGTTTTAGCGATAATCCCTTCTTTTAATTGTTGCAATTCCTCATTGGGTTCTGAATTACCATTCATCATATTATTAACAGCTTGAGAGTCATTTGTCCTAGTTCAATAGACATATTTCCTTCTAAGTTTAACTCCTTGGGCAATTTTATTTTATGTTGTATGTCTTTGCTTTCCCACATTCTAACTTGCAACTATTGAGATAAATATTCCTATGATGGAATTAACCTAATCCTCCATGCAGATAAGATTTCCTCAGGGTATTGAGATGCTGGCTATCTTCAAGAATTATGCATCGAAAACTTCCATACTGGATGATTTCAAGTATTACGAAGATCGCCAGAGGGTCTTGCAGGAAAAGAAGTCAAGGCTCCTGGCCAAACATTACCAACAAGATGGGTGTCTGATGCCTCAGCTTCTTGAGCCTAGTGACCTGAAAAAAACCCCAAAACCAGAGGAGCATTCGCTGACAGCACATACTACGGATGATATCACTTCTATATTGAAGGTTGGCTCCATCTCTATTGGCCCTGACCTCCGAAAGAGAAATGATGAATCAGAAAAAGAAAGGGTCCTAAAATTGAATAATGCTACAGCGAAAGATAATTTGGAAGCAAGTCTTGATGGGCCTAGTGTTTTTACTGTGGGTTCTATCCCAGTAAATGTTAATGGGTTTGATCATTCTTCAGGGGTTCTAACAGTGGGAAGCATACCCATAGATCCTAAGACACAGGTAATTAGCAAGATTGGTTCCAAGTCTGCAAAGGGCTCAAAGTAGGCCTTCTTTTTCTTCTCTTGTGATCGGTTTTTTTGGAGATTTTGTGGGGAGTGAGCCAGGTGTATTATGAATGAAGATAGTCGGTGTCAGATTTTTAAGGAGTAGTTAACTGTGCAGTTTGAGATGGAGATGTTTTGTTTCATAGGTTCTTTTTCTTTGGTGTTACTGCTCAGAATTTAGTTGTTCTTTTCTTTCGTTCGTTTTTTTTTTACTTGGGAAGGGCAGGGTTTTGATTTCATAATTTGTGTAATTGTGATTCCTCTGAGGTGGCCTTGTCTGTTGGGCTTGGTATACATAGGAGTCTGGAGAATAGTTGGTTTTTGTTTTACATATGTATTCTTTGCCCCATGCGGCTGAAATTTACTTGGAAGTTAGTTCACTTCCATGTTGTAAGAATTTTTCTTAACACAAATACAAAGTTTGTTTACCTTTGTCTCTTGTGTTGAACAAATAATCTCTCTATCTCGCATGCACGCACGCCCAAAAGCGAATGGAAACTAGTTTGGGTGTTTGGCCTCCGGGGAATTGTCAATTGTTCAAGGGTTTGGTGAATATTTCTAGAAGATGCAAGGTATTGTTCCTTGTCAAAAATATGTTTCAAAGGTATTTCTTAGAAATGCGTACGGTGGGACCATTCATTTTTTATACAAGGAGGTTGGGATTATTAAAGACTATTGGATGTGAAATTTGGTGTCATTGATTGAGTATAAATTTTTTTTTGGAATGTTGTGACACATTGATATATGGGATTTACATCTAATAGATACAAATGATTGTGATCTCTTTGTGCCAGTAGTAAATGGTTTCATAGTATCATTATGCCTTATTACGGGTCATACTCTCATTGAGGTTATAAGTCTCCATATTTTTTCTCACTGCTTTCAACTATGTCTTTTTGGATCGATTTTTGGCCTTTTTTTTTAGCCTTCCGTTTAAACTAACTCACATATCTTAATAGCTGCTGTATTGGATTTATGTTAGACATGACCAACCCACTTAAGTCTATTTTTTTTTATTGTATTATCTATTGGTGTCACATTTAAATTCTCTTGAATGTATTCATTTCAAAATCTATCCTTTCTTGACTTATCACTCATCTATCTCAACATCTTCATTTCCGCTACACTCATTTTATGGGTATGTTGTTTTTTGACCGTCTAACATCTTGGCCCATAAAGCAAAGTTGCTCTCACAACTGTCCTATAGAATTTGCCATTCAACGTCATTGGTATGTGGCGATCACATGAAATTTCGATTGTACATCTCCACCCTGCCTACCTAGCTTTAATTTTATGTGCAAAATATTTTTCAATCTCTCACTTTTCTTGGATTATCGATCCAAGATATGGCAAGTGCATTCGTTTTGATATTTCTTGGCTGCCAATTTTAGCTACCTCATATCTACTCTTGTTATTACTAAACTTGCATTTCATATACTCTATCTTAATCCGGCTAATTTTAAAACTTTTAGATTCTAGAGCATCTTTTCAAAGTTTTAACTTTGTGTGAATGCTATTTCGGGTCTCATCGATCAAAACTATTACATGCGACCAACATGCACCATAACACCTCATAGTGTAGGTGCCAAGTTAAGTTGTTTATAACTAAGACAAAGATATGGGCTCAATGTTGATCCCTGATGTAGACCTGTTGTCATTGAAAACTCACCCGTCTCTCCACTAATTGTGCATACACTAGTTAGCGCTCCCTCGAACATATCTCTCATCACATCAATGTAATATCTGGAAATTTCTTTCTTTTCCAATATCCATCAAATCAAATCTCAATATATTCTATCATAAGCATTCTCTAGATCAATAAAGACCATGTAGATGATTTTTTTTCTGTCCTAAATTTCTCAATCAGTTTGCCTAAGTAGAAAAATAGTCTCGATTGTTGACCTCTCTGGCATAAAACCGAATTGATTTTCTGATACACACGTGGCCAAGCTAGCTCTGATGCTATTGCTCTGCTCAACTCTGATACTTCAAGAATAATACTTGATTTAGGAACTTCCTTCCTTCCTTGCTGGTTGGCCTTGCTGCTTGGCTGCTTTCTCCGGTGCTAGCTCTGAAACCGGAGGTCTCTGTACCGGCTTGCTTGCCCTGAGGTCTCTGTACTGGCTTGCTCGCCTTCCTGCCTTCCTTCCATGGCTTCTTGACTTCATAGTTGAGTAGCTTGCCTTAGTCATTCAATTCCTCTCTCCCCACAACTTTATAGTGTAACTCATAAGTTTGATCCTTCAATAGTTCGCATAATTCTCTATGTCTCATTTGTTCTTGTAAATAAGTACCACAATCTTTTCCTCAATCCCAAATACCTTAGTGGTTTTAGGAGGAATAAGGATTTTATTTTGTTTTTCGTTTTGATTGGGAGGAGAGAGAGTTCCAAGCTGGGAGAGCCCTTGGCTTAGTGGTTAGGGCATAAGGGACGGTATCATAGCTTCCAAGGATTGAATTAGCTGAACCTACAATAAAGAATGGACCTGGTTTCTATGCGGCCAAGCCTGCATATGTAAAAATGCGGGCCTCTTAATAAATCTATTTTTGAGATGGATTTTAAGGCTTGGTTTGTAAAGACATGTAATCTATAATATGGAGATCTTGGATATGAAAAAATAAATAAATTTCAAAAACTACAAATAATAATTTTAGTAAGAAAACATTTGGACCGTTAGTTTCCAATGTTTTTTAGATGGAACACCTACTTGCATCCATCTTAAATATGGATGCTTTACACTTTTTGGACCGCATATGTAGAAATGCGTTCCAGCCTGCATGAAACAATTTTCCATAAAGAAAAAAAAAACCATGGAACTAGTCTTTTGAATTTGGAAATGTATTTGGTGCTTCTGTGTGGCTGCATCCAAGACTGTAGAGCTGCACTTCATTTGCTTGGCTTGATTGACTAGGTGTTGATGATTGCGGCATCACTTACCAAGTTTAACTTCTACATGAATTACACGCACAAAAACAAAGGATCTAATCATTTCCTTTGAGCTGTTAATTTTACTTCTATTAAATCATTAGGAGGAGCTTTTCAAAGGATTAATTTGAACACCATCAATCATTATTCCCTATCAATATTTTTGTTGATTTTTGTACTTCTGGAAATAAATTATTTTTTAATACTAAATTTCAGCACGTGTGAAGCAATTGGATTCGTGATTGTATTAGTTGAAGAAGTTAACTTATAATAAAGGGAAACTTCCATTCCTCATATTAGGAGGGTCGAAACAGTGCCCTCCTGTCCCATCTCCATTCATTTAGTTAAGGAAAATGGGGAGAGCATGTTAAAGAGAGCTAAATTTTAAGGAAAAACATATAAATAGAACATTTATTTTTTAGTATAAGGAGGTCATAATTTTTTTGATCCATTAAATTTCAAATCGGTTGGTTGTAAAAGTACATTGGGCTAGATTTAAAGTTCAAATTTTTTTTTCGAACTTCGTAACACACCTCAAATCATCCAATTTAATATTTAATGTCTGCCTAAGAATAACTGTGAGTTCCTTGTACAAAAAATAAACACTCACCTAGTAGATAATTTTTAAAATGATGAAGCAGTCCCCAAAATAGAAGTGTTGGAAGGGTGTTTTCCTTCATGAGTTTTACCATCAATGATCGCTTCAGTTCTAACTTACCAAAAAGAACACTATTCTGGTCCTTTCATCATTGGGCCAAATCCGAAACAACTTCAAATTTTCTCCAAATTAAGGAAGGAATAAGCCATGAATACTCCTTTCTTGGGCACTTAGAGGTAGTGCTGGCAATGGGCTCAACAGCGCGGCCTATCCCGGTTGACTCGGCCTTAAAACAATTCAGGCTTGGGCCACAAACTATGGCCCGGGGGCCGGGCTAGGGCTAGTGACAGCCCGGTTCGGCCGGGCCCTCTTTTTCTACTTTTATTTTGTTTCATTTTTTTTTGCCAGGACTAACCGGATGTAGGTCAGCCCTATGGAAACAATGGCCGGGCCAGTTGCCACCCTTACCTAGAGGTCATCAACAATCCTATTTAGATTTCAAAGACGAGCAAATTTGCTCTTATTCATCCAACCATTCCGTACTTGTGCTCCAATGTCTCTTACAATTTAAGCATGATACAAAACCTTGTGGCATGAAAAAACAGGCAAAAAAAAAAAAAAAAAGACATTTCGACACAAATATTTTCCTTGTTTATTTATTGTAAAAAATTTATATACGATTGATATCTTATATTGTAGAATTAATATGCACTTAAAAAATCTACCGAAAAATGTTGTTTTGGCATTGGAAAACCATTTAATTGATCACCTTGTCATCCTTGATATGGAAAGAAAGAAGATTTTAAGTCCCAAAATTAATACATACATTATCTGGACTATCTATTTTCAACATTTTCATGCGTTTATAGATCTGCTTGATTTGAACTGTTTTAAAAGTTTTAAATATTATAATTAGAGATAAAAATAAACTCTCGGGCCATCCTAAGAATTATCGACACTAAAGTGACATATTATGAAAAAGTTTGGAGGTGTGTCGTGCTTTGATTGTTTAAATTTGCAACCGTATACAAAACTCATTCTTATTTATTTATTTAAAAACCTAACAAGATAGAGTGGACTCAAATTAATAGGGCTAGAAACCTGGCCAAATGCATCTCATTGCATTGTGGGTCCGGTAAGTGTCCGATAGGGGAACAGCTTTATCATTCACCGAATTCCAACCTTTATTTTACAAGAGAAGTTGAATAAATAGGGTACACTTACTTTAGTCATCCCCTTGAAGATATGGCATGCATATTATTTTTCTTTTCAAGTGGGCTACTTTGTATATATCTCAAAAACAACTAAAAACTCATCAAGTGTGTGTAGACCACAAATGATTTGTTGACTGTACTCATGTAATTAAACTCAAATTTTTGGTCAATGTGATAAGATACATCTTTTTATGGCCCATTGTCGGTGTCATCTTCATTAATAACTTTTCTCATGAGATAATTGAGGAATATGCTCACCCAAGTTTAAATTGGGATTAAAAGACATATTGTATGACATGTGGAAGTGTATATTGTCAAACAAAAGAAAAAGACATGTAAAAGTGTGACATGAACCTTGCAGCATGAAGAACAACTTGCTAAATGTTGCATCAAATTTTGTTGTATTTGATCAATGGTTGAGATGAATGATTCTTTGTTCAAGTTTGTTAGTGTCTGCTTGAGCAGAGACAACCATCAATCTCAGCATTTAATGTTGGAAAAGTATATAATGAGATCATTTACCTTTAGTACAAGGTGGTCACAATTAATTGTGACCATTAGATGTGAAATTGGATGGTTACATTTATTCTATTGACGAAGCATAAAGTTCAAAAAAAAATTTCTCGAACTTTGTAACACACCTAAGGAACGTCTAAACTTGCGGCAGAGAGTAGGGCAGAACGGGCCTAGAC